ATTATATAATTTTATATATAGTACATTAAATAAATACTATACTATTCCATGTCTTATTTGCTTCATGTATAATTAAGCTGTTTATTCATTTAAAATGTTATAATATTGTTTATATTGCGCATACATGAACAGTAAATTATGATCTTCTTATATTAAAGTATACAATATGAATTTAATACAGAAGTTATAATTCTATAATTATTACTCCTCTATACAAAATAACGTATATAGTAATTATAAGTCTTACGATAAATAGTTATTATGTCTTAAAAATATGATTCATCAGATTTATTTGTATGTATATATATAATGTAATTATATTAGTTATAATTTTAATGTAATAATGTTAAGCATATTATATTAAGCTTGACGTATCCTTGCAACTACTTAGCCAAGAAATATATAAATTATAAAAATGTTATGTATTAACTATAAAAAAAAAGATAGGATAAATAAAAAAATTAAATTGCGTTAAATAAAACATAAAAGTAAAAAACAAATATTGTAATATTATATGTACTTACATATAAAAATATAAATTGTAATGTAATTTCATATATTAATATAATAAATGTAGGAAAATGTAATACGTAGAATTATATCATACATTTGTAATTACGAAAAAACTATAATTGCAAAATTATTATGAATAAGTACATACAATAAATGGAAATACATTTTTCAAATATATTACGTATTTAAATATTACTTTATATATTTAATTAATTCGTATCATGTTCATTAATTTTTTGAAAGTATTTATATTTATATATATATTTTTATATTATTATATATAGATCATTACCATTTAATTCATTATAATCACTTTTATTACAATAAAACGTGTAATTCATACAAAAGACAACATAAAAATACGAAATATTACATTAAATTATACAATGTATTTTTATTTACTATATATACAAATAATGTATATATTTTATATTATTATATTGATTTATTACAAACATTATTATATAATAGGAACAAATTCATTTTAACAATTTTTTTGTATATTGCGCCCATTATTTCATTTTTATGTAAGTATTTACACAGAATTATTATCAAAATATTTTTCCTGCTGTCATTTCGACATTTTTTTAATAAAGAAATTTCTTCTACATATAAGTTTAGGTGCATAAATAGGAAAAATTTTGTAACATATTATAACTT